AAGGTTCAATCCTTGGCCCTATACTCTTTTTAATTAACATTAACAATCTTCCAGATATTCTCACATCTAAGGTGGCACTGTTCGTTGATGATGCTACCATTTATTCTTGTCATGATAAGAAGCCAACACTCTCTAATTGCTTGGAGGGAGCATTTGAGCTTAAAAAGGTTCTTACTTCTGCTACAGCATGGGACTCACAGTGGTTGGTGAACTTTAATTCAGATAAAACTCAATTTTTTTCAGCCAATCATTATCGCAATAATTAAGACCTTCTTATATTTATGAACGGTAATGTACTCGATGAGTCATCTACCCTTCATCTTCTAGGATTTACTCTCACTTCCAATCTTTCTTGGAAACGATATATTTGATCCGTTGCAAAATTAGTATCTGCTAAAGTTGCATCTCTTTATCAAGCACAACACTTTCTTACTCTGACTTCTACTCACCATCTCTATAAATCTCAAATCCGGCCTTGTATGGAATACTGTTGCCATATCTGTGGCGGATCTTCTAATGATGCTAGCGTCTCTTGTGCCATCTACTAAAATTTATTCTTGTGTTACTTGTCATTCAATTAAATTTCATCCTTTTTCTGTGACTGTTCCTAAGTGCTCCAAAAACTCTTATATCGCCTCTCTTCTAGTAACTTCCAACTCTAATTATTGGTTGCTTGCAGTCTTGTTGGAAGCAAAGATGCTTAAAAAAAAAAAAGTTGTATATTTATTGTAGAAAATAAAACTAAATGATTTTCATAACTTTTGTTGTCAAAATTACGCAGTTTTATTTATTACTAAAATACAGCTCTGATTTTCTACATAAATAAATATATATTCATAAATATATATATATATATATATATATATATATATATATATATATATATATATATATATATATATATATATATATATATATATATATATATATATATATATATATATATATATATATATATAATATATATATATATATATATACAATTACACAAAATAACTATATATATATATATATATATATATATATATATATATATATATATATATATATATATATATATATATATATATATATATATATATATATATATATATATATATATATATATATATATATAGTTATTTTGTGTAATTGTCTTTGCAAATATCTTCTTCTTCAGATTTTGACTATTTTTAATAATGTTCTAGAAAAAACATTAGCAACAGGTAAATTTGTTTGTAATGTTAATATGTAATGTTTTTACTTCTTTTATCTTATCATAATTTTTTTTTTCATTTTAGACAAATCTTACAATGTTTTTTCAGCATACTTCAGAACAAATAGAGGGACAACAACTCATAAGGCACATAAAATGTGGGGCTAAATTTAGGACAAAAGCTTGACCACCTCCTTTTTTTAAATAGGGAGTGTTGATCCTGTAGAAAGTACAAAATGAGGAGAGGGAGTGGTGGGAAAATAATAAGCAACATCTGTAATTAGTATTTTTGTAGTTGGTTAATCTACCAATTGTTAGTTGATGAAGCAGATGTAGTTAAATTTTTTTTGTAAATAAAACTTTTCTTTATAAATTTTATTTTGTTATTATGTATAAATAAATTGTTTTTCAGTTAATTCTTGTAGTGTATTTTTTCATCTTAATTCGATTTTTTTTTTAAGATTAACCTGGTGGCATGTTTGTTCAAAATAGACTTGAATAGAATTGAAAACTATTTAAAACTTTTATGTTTTAGTTATTTGTAAATAAACGTGTAAATAAAAATATCTTTTATTTTAAAAAGCTATAGGCATTTTTTTGAAATCACTATCTGCAATGATTCCTATTTTATCTATGTGAACAAAAGTCTATGCAAATATCGATCATGCAAATTTCAAGTTATGTAAACTATTAACAATTATATCAAAATTTTACAGATTTACTTTTACTTTAAAATTTAGAAATAAGATTTTATTTAAATTTTTTAAGAAAATTCTTTTAAAAATGTATAGTATATATATATAGTGTTATGTACAAATGTCTGTAAGTGTAATTCTTTATGTGCTAATGTCTGTAAGTCTTTAGCATATGGAACAACCATGTATAATAAATCCATAAAAATAAGATGAATTTTGAACTTTATTTGAACAATTAAAAAACTGTTTAGCTGTATTATTATTATTTTTTGCTATAAATATTGCTACAGTTATTTTAGATATGTACTATAATAAAAATTTTGCTATAAATACAGCAAGATTGAAAAAAATTTGTATTGTATTACGCTAAGAGGAGGTCTTTAATCCCCCAAAATGACACTGATGACAGCGCACTAAACCACTTAAATATCAATGATATGCGTTTAGCAGTATAGAAATGGTAGGTTTGGTAAAGACCCATATTTTATGGGTCTGGAAAGCTAGATTATATATATAAAAAGTATAGAAAAGTTTGGTGTGGAATAGACTTACAAAGATCCATATTTTTACTAGACACTAGATGTCTCGAGTCTCAATTTCTCGCCTGGTATTGGTACAACACCATACAGAATCAGTATCGAAACCACGCAATCCTGGTATTGAAAGTATCATTAATGTTGGTATTGTTTGGTCTTAATGCAATACTTTACAGTATCAACATCGAAATCACCCGATACTGGTATTGAAAGTATCGGTTATGTTGGTATCATTTGGTCTCAATGCAATACTTTACAGTATTGACATCAAAATCATGCAATGCTGGTATCAAAAGTATCAGTTATGTTGGTATCGTGTGATCTCAATATGTAAAACCTTACAGTATATCAAGATTATCAATATCAAGATTATGCAGTACTTGTATCAAAAATTATTGCTTATATTGGTATTGTTTTGTACAACATAAAGGATGAGGAAAATTTTTTCAATTATTTCTATTTTAATCAAAAATAAAGATTTTGTTTAACATTGATTTCTATATTAAATTATTACAAATAATTAAACTATGTTAAACAGTGTGTAAGGGGCGGATAAAAAGGAAAGAGGGGTGGTGCTACCCTCACCCATACCTAGGAAATATCAAACTTCAAAATAAAATTGATAAAATTAAAAAAAAAAAAAACAAGCACACTGTAATTCAACATTTTATTTTTCTCAAAAAAAAAATTATTTATATAACTATTCAATATATTTATTAGCCAACTATTTTATAACCTTTCTAAAATCATTTTAACTGATCAAATGAAACAGCTGTTTTATTTAAAAAAAACAACGTAAATCTTACTTTTTTATATATTTTTTTGGTCTGACTACCCCCCTAGAACAATGACCTGGATCCGCCCTTGCTGTGTGTAGTTTCTCATATCGTTATTCCAACTCTATTGAATTTTTATTCCATTCAGGCAAAAATTTTCTGTGCAGAATTAATCCAAATTAAAATTAATTAAAGAGAATAGTTTTGCAATCATTAAAGAGAGTTTTTCATATAATTCTCCAAAGGGAATTGTTTGTAATGCAACCTTAAACGATTATTCTAAACAAGTATTAGAAATAATTGTTCAAAGGTAATTAGTTTTGTAACTATCTTTAAAGAGAGTTTTTCATATAATTCTCCAAAGGAAATTGCTTGTGATGCAATCGTTAATGATTATTCTAAAAGAGTATGAGAAATGATCATTCAAAGGGAATTGATTTTGTAACAGTCATAACAATTATTTAAATTTTATTAATTCTGTCATATATAGCGTCCATATTTTAATTTCTCATCTGGTATCGTTACTTTAATTAAATCTCTCGTGGTATCGTAATTCTTGCCAGGTTTTTCATTCTGGGCTCAACATTCAACAACTAAACCTTAGTTTTAAACAATTAAACGTAAATATACTTTAGTTATAGAAAACTAATCTTCACAATGCTGGTAAATAATTTTGAGATACATTACTGGCAGAATTAGTTTTATATATAACAACTTAACTCTATATTGTAGTTTGGCCAAGTGGATAAAGTTATGGCCAGTGAGTCTGGATATCTGCGTTCAAGTCTTTCTGAAGGGCTTAATTTTTTTATTTTTTGTTAATTAAAAATGCAGTTTATTTTTTATGTTTTTATATTATTATTACTATTATTGTATATTAAAGATTTTAAAAAATTTAATTTATTTGGTGGAGTAAATATTCAGAGTGGGCAGCCTACAATAATTAATTGTATGTCTGCCCACTCTTAACTTTTTGTTTTAGATTTAGATGCCTACTAACTAATTGTAAAAAAAAAAAAATTAAATTCACGCTTATCAAAGGGTCTTTTTTTGGTAATAATATTTTTTAAATTATTGTACTCATATGATATTGTTTAGATGTAAAATTTACAGTAAATGTCCCTAAAATTATTAAAATATTAAAAGAAGAAAATCCTAAAATACCACCGAAAGTACAGCAAAGGAAAAAACAACAAATGGACAATAGCCAAAGTATTTTAGATTGTTAAAAAACAATCACTAAATCTCTAAAAAGCGATTGTACTTGTATTTTGTTAAAAAAAAATTCAATAAGTCACATTTTAATTTTTTGTTCTTTTTGTTTTATTGAGAGTCGAGACCATTCAATACTATACGATTCTTTTTATTATTGGTATCACTTGGTATCAAAGCAATACTGATAGTATCGACATTGGTACCTAAGCAATACCACACAATACGAGAGCATCCTTTTCGATATCGAATGGTATTGAACCGATACTGATAGTATTGACATTAGTATATAAGCAATACCACACAATATGAGACCATTCTTCTTGGTATCGACTTATACAATATCGATTATCTAGTGTCTAATTTTTACAGGTCCGATCAGCAAGTATCAGAAACAATATAAAATAGAAGACTTTACATAAAATAATAGGAACTTAATAAAATATCAGAAACTTTATATAATATCAGAAACTATATAGAATAAAAAAACTATATAAAAAACTATATAAAAAAAAACAATTGCATACAACATTGGGAACAAAATATCAGAAACGACATATAAACCTATTTATTACTTGAAACATACCATCATTTGAATAATATTGTGTACTTGATATAGTTATGTTTATTAGTTTTCTTGTAGAATTTATTAGATCAAGATATTCAACTATTTGACCATACAAATATTGAAACATTAAAGTATAATTTACAATCACACTACCCATCCTAAAAAAAACAACAGTTAAATAAAATTAATATCCTACTTTTTAAAAAAACATTTTTTCCACATATTTACAAAGTGGCCACAAAGAATATATTAGAATTTAAACTCTGTACCTGTTAGTCTGGAACATCATTATTTTTTTTTATAAATTAATAATGTTAAACGCTAATAACAAATGCAAAATATACTCAGGTGATACCTAAAATTGTTTTCTATATTTATAAGCCATCCAGACCTATTAGGTCTGGATGGCCTATAAATATAGGATATCTTAAAATCATCCAGATATTTTAAAAATCCGAAAAATTGTTTAGGTAAAATATCTGAAAAAAATCCAAAATATTTTTCCCTCTTAATTTTGCTTTTAACTGAATTGTTCATAACGTTTTTTCAAAGTTTTCTTAGTTATGTATGAGTGATGAAAGAAAGAGCTTAAAAACTTGTATGTATGGAAAAGGTTTTGGATAGCTGGAAAAACTAAAAGTTGATAAAGATATCTGGAATTCTGGAAATATTCAGAAAAAAATTAATCCCTGTATATTAGAAAATAATATCAATATAGAAAATGTTGCTGAGTTGCTGAAAAGCTGTTGCTGAATTAGAGTATAGACCAAACTATTTACTTTTTTATTATATTGAATACAAAACAAATGATTTTTAATAATAATAAAAAAACACAATTGAATGAGATAACATGTAATAACACTATAAATCAACAAAAAACAAACAAAACAAAAAAACATACTCAAGCTTATTTACAACAATATTTGTTAATCCTTTTAAATTATTTTGATTAAAGCAAGATTGAACCTAAAATAAAAAGTTTAAAAGTTTTAAAATAAACTCAAAAACATAATTTTATATATATGTGAGATAAACTTATATATTATGATAAGATAATCTTTTATAAACTATTTATAGACTTATATATACTTATAAGTTGATGTAAATAAATATTTTTGTTTTAAAGGGTAATTTTTAAGCAAATCAAAGTAAAAAATTAAACAAAAAATAAATTTGAAAGGTTTGGAAGCCAAATAAAAGAAAAAGTGAGCTAAACTTATTTAACTGTTTATATTCAAAAAAACTTAAATATTAAAATTATTAATACGCTTTACAAATTTAAAAATAACAACAACAGTAACTAAAAATATGTAACAATATCTAAGTTTCATGGTATAAAAAAAATAAATTTATATAAACTAAATTGTTACTAATGCTAAAAACCAAAAAAAGGGGTCATCAAAAGAACAGATACTATCTAGAATGTAAAAACAATAAGTATAATGAAAAGTCATACAGAGTTCTTGAAGTTTATTGTAAAATTTTGAGCCTCATATGAAATGATGTTATACATTTTCCACATCCATTTTTCTAAAGTTCTCTGCACTAAATTTACTTCAATAACTAAATAGTTAAAACATATCATTTATTATAATAAAAACAATAAAGTTAATTAAATAAATTAATAAAAATGAATTATTTATTATAGTATAATAAAACTAAGTTATTGAATTAATTATTATAAATTATTTATAACATAATTAATTAGTTATATTAGTTTTAAGTCAAGCAATATAAACAAAAAAAATTTTTTGAATTGAATCCAAATTTTATACACAAGTTTATTTAGTCTCATCAATATTTTATATACAAGTTTACTCAGTCTCATCAATATTTTATATACAAGTTTACTCAGTCTCATCAATATTTTATATACAAGTTTACTCAGTCTCATCAATATTTTATATACAAGTTTACTCAGTCTCATCAATATTTTATATACAAGTTTACTCAGTCTCATCAATATTTTATATACAAGTTTACTCAGTCTCATCAATATTGAAATTTTAAAATTAATTTGAATCTGTGTATGTGCTGTATCATACATTTTAAATGGTTTTAAAAGATCCAGGAAAATCTAATATTTAAGATCTATTATTAAAAAATATATAATAATCTATTATTTATTCTAAGATTTAGTATAAATCTAGAATTTTCTAAAAGTTTCTTTATAATTCTAAAAATGAAAAAGACCTTGAAAAGAATTCAGTTTAAATTACTTCAAAAATCAAAAAGCTACTAAAAATATCTACAAATAAATAAAACTCCAGAAAATTAAAAAAAAAAGGTTTAAGGTTCTCATATATAGCTGACTTAATTAGGTGCATTTTTATTGGTTATATTCAATTTATATGAATTTAATCATTAAGACCTAACCACAAGATCAAAAACTTTTGATCATTTGATTGGTTATTTAATTGAACCTTTGAAAGATTTTTTTCTGGAGAGTTCTAGCAACTGTGAAAATGATCTTTGTGTTTAACTTGTATTGATAAAAAAAATAGCATAACTGTAAAAGATCTAATCCCCACAGCTGTCTCAGGTTATCATAAAGATGTTAAAATTAATTATTTATTAATACTAAGAGATCCAGAAGAATATTAAAGGAGGAAAAGCAATCTAAAAAATAAAAAAAGATGACTTCATTAACTTCACATTGTCTATCTGCGTCAACACAGAATCAAGAAAAAATAATCTTGTAGTAACTCAGAAATTACTGGAAATAAAGAAGAGTGTTGGCCTTTAAGGAAAACTTTAATATCACGATTAAAAAGGAATGATTTAGTAATTATAAAAACTTTTACCAGGTATACCATATGAAATGAAATTATGGAAAAGTCCACCATACCAAACTTTATCAAAAGCTTATCTGTTTTTTTGAGATAACAGAGTATGGTCCTTTGATAAATAGATGAATTAGAGAAAAGGTTTTGCCTTACCTTTGGAGGAGGTATTAAGGTCAGACTAGAGTATGGGAAATATAATGTGAGTATAGCCCAATTAATGTTAATGACATTGATTTTCCAAGTCTTTAGAACCCAATTTTTGAAACAAAATATAAAATTTAGTAATTTAAGAATAATGGACCTTGGTATCAAACAATATCTTTAACATCAATTTCTTGCAACAATAAAAAAGTGTTTGTTCTCAATAGAATTGTTCTTGTAAAAAAGATAAAAGAAATGGTTACAAAAACATATAGCATCTAAATAAAGGAGAAATCCATAGGATACTCGACTTAAAACAGAGGAATATGAATAAAAGCTTTCATGTCTGAATGATTCTAAGAGATAATTCTTTTTAAAGGAGGCACAACTTTCAGCAGAAAGACAATTTGTCCAAGAATCACCAAAAAAAAAATTAAAAAAAATTCCAGTCAGCCCTAAAGTAGGAATAAAAAGTGTAACAAAAATGTAAATAAAAAGAATCTTATATAGAAGAGATAAAAAATTAAGTGAGATCATTGTGTGATTTGAACCACCTAATGGAGAACAAATAGAAACTGCTAGGTTTAAGCTAAAGAGACAAAAAACAAATTAAGGAGCAAAGGTAAGAGTTTATTGGGAGTTTATCTGGAAAATCTCCATGTTAAATATCTGATTAAAAGATTGAGAATCAAAATTAGTCAGCCATATCAGTGGTGGCTATAAAGTGGTACTAGAGCCAAGCTCAGTTTAATGAGTATATAACAATAAGCATTCATTAATAACATTATTGACTGAGGAATAAAGAGTAAGAATTTGGCCAATTTAATCAGAAACAACATCAAAAAAAAGTGTAATCTTAGGAAAGAGAACAATAAAGAATAAAAAGGAAGGTGATTAAGCAAAGAAGTGCTAAGCAAACTATAAAATAAGTAAGCAACACCAAGTAAAAAAAAAAAAAATTCTAAAATACAGTTAAGAAAATTCAGATCCTGACTTGACCTGGATATATTATATAACAAAATATAACTTGCCTACATTTTTTTACATAATAATTTTTTTAACTTTGTTAGTATTTTTATTTATAAAAGAAAAAAGAAAAAAAAACAAACAAAACAGATTTAGACTGATTTAGCGCAAATAAATTTCATTAAACAAAAAATTTATAAAACTTACATTTACAAGGATTCATCCAACAATCTCTTGTAATTGTGAAATCTCCACTGCATTCTTTACCATTTATTGCTGGCACAGGATTGTTACAGTATCGCACGCGTTTAGAAGTTCCATTACCACATGGTTTATCACAAATGGACCATTCAGTCCATTCTGAGAATCCACCATTAACTAAACAAAAAACATAAATATATGTATATATATATATATATATATATATATATATATATATATATATATATATATATATATATATATATATATTGTATGCTATCCCTCTGCAAAAAACAAAATGGTTAAAAAATTTGTATTAACTTATAACTACAGTTTAAAAAATGTTGCTAAACTCATCAATGAAATGCATTTTAAAAATTGTATTTTAAAAAAGGATCCATTTTAAAATTTCCATTTTAAAAAATAACATGGTAATAATTAAAGGAAGTCCAAATATCATTTAAATTTTCAGATTTCATTGTGGTTTTTGGTTGAATAATTTTGCATTTTAATATTGTAAAGTGCTATCAGTTATTATTTGTTTGCATTTTCATAAAAATTAGTAGATTTGTAAGAAATAGAATCCAAATTAGAAGTAAGAAAAAAACATTATGTAGAATATCAAGCTAATTATTCAGCATACCAAGTTAATTATGCAGAATACCAAACTAATTATGCAGAATATCAAATTATGTTTCTCAGAATCCTGATAAAAAGAGTAAAAGCTTTAGAAAAAAATTTAAGAGATATCCAGAAAAATTGATTTTTTTACTAAAGCAAATCTAAAAGTTGTAAAAAGTCAGGTTTAAAAAAAAATATTTTAAATCAATCTAAAAGACTGATTTTATCTTTTAAAAACATTCAACAAAAAGGAAAAACATTAAAATAATTTTTAGAAGATTTCAAATTCAAAGGGAAAATGAGCTGAAGTTGTTTCTTTTTTTTAAAAGAGCTCTACTTTTAAAGATAATCCAGGAGTATTTCTAGCATGCTCAAAGCTGCATGGACTTTCTGAAAGAGGTATTTAGCAGTTGTAAACTTTTATAATGAAGAAATTTCCCAAACATCATTCAGCAAAAAAGATTTCACTCAGTTTAATTTTCTGAAGAAAAAACAAACAATATTCTGACGCCTCATTTAGATATATATATATTTACACTAAAAGAAGCTTTTGAGTTATTTAAAGAAGCATCAGCACATCAAATTTGGACTCTGTGCCCATGCAATGTGAAATCTGTTACAAAACGTCTGCATGTTTATGTTTGTAGCTTGTATGAAAACATGCAATTTACCAAAGATACATTAACGTAATCGATTCAAGTGTATTAGATCAAAGTGGTATCTGAAATGACAAAAAAACTTTGTTTGTGAACCACACACATATGATTGGGCCTATAAATGTGCTGCTTGCAAAAGTATAAAATAATTTGAAAAACACTTGATGAAGTCAAACTGTTGATACATTTTACTTCAAAGCATCCTAATGCAAATGAGTAAATCCCAAAACTAAAACATATGCAAACATCAAAGAAGTCTACTGCAACAGAAATTATCCTGCATACATCAACAATGCATAATAAATTTATTAAAAATACATTTGTAAAAATTAATACATGCATTTGAAAAACCAATCAACAATTTTCAAGAAACTAAATGAAGTTTCAATGAACTTTGATTCTGAAACTACTGTAATCCAAGTTGACTGGGCTTAAAATGCTAAGTGTTTCTATTAAAATGAATCGCAATTTGGTCAAAACCAATTTCAATCATGACCCTTACAGTCTGTGACATTGAGTTTAAAACATTTAGTATAGTTTCTGATTCAACTGATCATATAAATTCTTTAATTATACTGTACATTGATAAAATACTTCACTTTATTTCTAATCAAGTAAAAAAAATGCATTTGTTCAGCAACTAAGTTTAAAAACAAAGTATATTGGCTGCAACAGTTGTTTGAAAAAGAAGAAAAAATTCTTCTGGCATTTCTTTGCATCAATACACAGAAAAGGAGTGATTGACAGAACTGAAGCTGTTATGTTAGCTGTGATTGACAGAATGGATTGACAGCTGCTGTTAAGCTAATCGTAGTTCTGAGAATCAAGTCTAATCAATGCAAAACCAAATTAGCCTCAGATTTTTTGTTATATTACAAGGTTTACAAATACTAAGAGAAAATATCTGTGATTCATATGTCAGAAAGCGATACAAGACAGCAAAAGAAAAATGAACTTGCATTCAGTTTGAAGTTTTTTAAGAAAAATAAAATAAAAATGTTTTTATGTTCAGCATGATAGAATTGTTCCTATGATATTTTCAACCTGAATATAACTAAAGTTTATCACAACAAAACTGCATCTTATGTTTTATCACTGAGCATTTTTTCACTGAACTTTTATCTAAAAATTATGAAAACTTTCTTGTTTGTGTCATTTTTTACGATTGCCTGATTGTCAAAAGAAATAAACTACAACAACAAAATTTAATTAGTTTAGTCAAAAGTGAAATTTCAGAAAAAATGCCATTTGAAAACTGATATTATATATTATTATGATATAAACTTTATTATTTTAATTCATTTTATAAATCATCAGATAAAACTAGAAAAATAAAGCATACAGTGCAATATAAAATTAAAAAATAACAAGTGTAAAAATAAATTAACAGTCTAGTTTTGATCATTTAATACGTAAATAGCTTTTATTTAGTTGTTTTTTATTAGTTGATTTTTAAACCATCGCGCACAATTTTTGGACATTTAGTAACTACTTTTTTCATGTAACTTTTTTATTTATTTATAATCCTTATATTGCCTTGTGTTTAAAAAATAATAATTAAAAATATGTAATAAATGTTATTATTTTTGCAGTAGTAAATTTAATGTTTTGATTTTTTATTATTTTTTGCATTATGATAAATTGACTGTTTCATTAATGTTCACGGTTATTAATAAACTGAGAATTTAATGACCAGAAATATTTACAGATATTGCAATTCGTGATCACTTAATTCAAGCCTTCAATATATACAGTTAATTCTCTGTAAGTTGAACACCAGTTAATTTGCTCAAAATCTCGAACTTTTGCTATCTCAAACTGTTTTCTTTGAAAACAAGAACAATTGTTTCACTTCGCTTAAGTCGAGTATTCCTTTAATTGAACCCTTGAAGGTTCATGTTAACAGGAATTTACTGTATATTTATAAATAAATATATATTATGCTTTTAATAAGTTATTACTACTTAAAATACCAAGTAATTAATTTGAAAGATAGCATCTATTGGCATTTTTTGCTTTATGTACATGACTAATAAAATACATACAACTTTAAAAAAGTCATTGAAGGTAAAAATTTTTATTTTATAACTTAACAAATGAAAAAACAAAAGCAAAAAAATATATGGTTGCTACCTGGGCATGGAAAAGCAACACATTCTTTAAAAATATCTATATTTGGTCCATAACATGGAGCACCACTTCCTAATGGTGGTGGATCACACACTCTTGTTCGAATAGACACACCATAGCCACAAGTTGCATTGCAACTTCCCCAAGGTCCCCAACTTGTCCATATGCCATCAACTTAAATTAAAATAAACAGATTAGCATTATATTTCTCCATATCATGATCATATTCATTAAACCAACATTTATAAAATTTTTACTTATAAAAGTTTCCACTAGAGAATTTTTCAACTATTATACAAGTTACAAACAGAACAATTTTTATAAATAATTTTTTATATTTTAACAGTCTTTTTATAAATAACTTATGCTATAACTTTTGCTATTTTTTTTCAACTGATGTTTTATTTAAAAAAAAATAAAAATAGATATACCTGAACACACTGGCACCTCACATTTTTTTTTTTGCGAAAACAAACCACTGCAGTTTCCATTACATATTCTAGTTCTAATCATAAAACTTGATCCTCCACATGTTTCAGAACAAAAACTCCATTCTAACCATTCACTAAAGCCAATATCTCCTTAAAATCACAAATAATTATATGTAGTTTGTGGTTTATTATTACATGTTAATATTAATGTATAATTTAAATACATAGTGCATAACAAATATTTTTAACTATTATATAAGTTACAAACAGAACAATTTTTCAATCAAAACAAAGTCAATCAATCAGATCAGATAAAATCAGATATTTCATCCTTTAGAAGGTTTTTTTTATTATTAATATTATCTTTTTCAAAGTTATTTTTGTATTATCTTAATTTCAATCAAACAGATTTATTTTAAAATCAATAAATTCAAATTTATGTGCTCTGTACTAGCAATATGTGCTCAAAACTGCATCCTTTTTGCTATAAAGAAACCGTGGATTAATCGAGGATATGATGGCGGCATATTTCATGACAGACATATCAGGTTTGCTAAATAATCTATAATTTTTTATTTTTACCGAATTTTACTTTTGCTTATATTAATTTGTAAACATGACTCTTTTTACTCTGCCTCTGATATAAGGCTACATCAAAAAGCTTTAAAGCAATTTAAAAAAAGTTGAATACTATATGTTCTAGGAAACTATTATTTGATCTAGTTGAAAAATGGGCAACATTGAAAAAAAATTATCTGGAGAATTAGCTAGAAACATCTTTAAAAAAAATGCTAAGAAAGTTTTTTTTTGGATTGGAAAACCTGATGTTTGCTCCATTTTGAAGAAAAAACATGGAAACAACCTAGATTTATACAATTTAGATAAGCAATTTTTAAATGATCAAATGACAAAACATAAAATGACACTTGGTTCAAAGAATTTAGCATATTGCCAAAAGCTGAAAAAGATCGAAGAAAGAAGATTGCGATATTTAACATTTATTTAACAACAAGAGGATTAAACTGAGAAAATTGAGTTTTTATCATCAGAACCAAGTGAGGTCTCTTCTTGTCAGGATTCCGACTAATTGACAGACAAAATTAAATCAGGTACTAGTGCTTCAACAATATTATCTAAAAAATTTGCAAAAGAGTTGCAATTACAGGTGTTTCTAAAAAATTTTCACCAAGAAATATGATGCACTTGCTTTCTGACATAGTAGTTACTTCTGAGGGCAGTTTGACAGATTTTTCGCTTTCTGAATCTACTATCAGACACGCAAAAAAGAAAGCAATAAGTACAAGTGCAGCTAAATATCGAGAAGATATAATAAAAGCTGCAAGTCAAAGTAAACTTTCCAATAATTGCACACTTTGATGGAAAAATCTTGTAGGATATTACTAACAGTACAAAACAAAAAAGAGTTTTGCTGTTCTTGTAAGTATCAATGGTGACTTCTTGGCATTCCGCCAATAGAAAACGGTACTGGAAAGTCTTATCATAATACTTTGATAAACATTTTGGATGAATATAATCTAAGAACTTATATAAAGGGTCTGTGCTTTGATACAACTGCAACTTATACAGGAAAATATTCTGGCACAAACATTAGGTATTGTCAAACACAGGGTTCAATTATATTACAGCTTGCATGCCAAAGACATGTTTACAAGCTTTAATGTAAACATTTTTGGGAAATTTTCAAAGCTAATTATTGCGTTCAAGCTAATTGAAATGCAACAAAGGAAACTACAGATAAATCAAAGTTCAAAAAGTTTGACAAAGCTGCAGTTAAAGGAACTTATCTAGCAAAATTTTGAAAATATGTACTTGCCAATTTAGTATTTCCAAGAGGTGATTATAAAGAATTAGTAGAACTTACACTTACCAACTTATGTCCAGATGTAAGCTTTAATATTTATGCTGCCAGATCAGTTTCCCATGCTTGTTTTATGGTAAAGTCTATATATTATTTTAAAAGAAATCAGTAAAATGGCAGAACTTATTTCTATATTTTATATTGTGTGGTTTGTACATTCTTCTTTACTTTCCTCTGCACCTTATCAAGATTTAAATGCGTACTGGCAGTAGGTTCAGTATGAACGTTGGGTAGAATTTTATGATCCAGGAGCTAATGATGTACTAGAAGGAATTGAACAAATATTGAAATCAATGGAGAGACATTTATACAGGGTAGCCACTTAAATTTTAAAATGAAATTCCATGACTTTTCGATGACATTTCCATGACTCTTCATAAACTTTTATGATAAATTATTTGAGTAAAATATTCAGTACTTGCCGTACACTAAGCATTTGCAACTTGGTTATTATAAACATGCAAACCAAAAACTAATTGGTAGAAAGTTCTGAAATCATGCCTGAAAAAAAACTATTTTTCTTCTACATCACTGATTACTTGCAAAAATATCTTTTTAAAAAAGGACTTAGACTAGACATTCTAATGCTTCTCTTTACATCCTAAAAATATCACAGGTAGAAAAAAATAAAATCTTAAAAAGTTTGATGAATTTTCCATGACTTTTCAATGAAAATTTAAGAATTCCATGACTTTTTCCATGATCAAATAAAATTCCATGACATTTCCATGATTTCTATGAACAGTGGCTACCTTGTATGTACTATTTGGATCAAACCTTGATTCCATTATGTCTCGCAGATAAAGAACTCGAAGATGATGAGAAAGAAAAAGTTGCAAAAGTTCTCTTCTTGCAACCTGTTCCAAGAGAAGTCCAAAAATTCAATTCTTCTGAAAGATCTAGACTTCACCCAGAAGAAACCATCTAGCTTTTCAAAGTTGGTTGGTAGGAAATCGTGGTTTATTTTCAATCTGTTAAATTTGAGTAAAGATACTGATAAACCTTGTTTGGTATTATGGTGAATTGTTCTTCATCTTTTTGGGGCTTTATCGACCAATTTAAAACTTTCATTGAATTTGTTTGACAAATATATGTTGTCTAAGACTGCTCTGAACAAGTAATTAAGCTTGTGCCAGAGTTTGTTAATTCTGTTCACAATAAAAAGGAAAGGCAAGATTTAATGTTGGTTGTTCAGCATAGTAGGAATTTATTCAGGGAGTTTGAAAAAATACAAAATACATCACTGCTGACCTTAACAATATTGTTATATATATATTTTTTTCAGAAAATTTATTATTATACCTTGACTATCCCAGCTACATGATATTCAGCAAAATAAAACTGATTGATTAAAACATTTATTTTGCAGCGCCTATATGAAAATCTAATCAAACTATATGTAAAAATAAAACTTCAAGGCGGATGGTACATAAATATTCTGTAAAAAAAAGTAAAATAGATGGAAGAGGGTGTGTGAAAGAAACGAACTCTCTGCCCCCCACCACTAACCCTCATATAGGAGGTCCCTATATTAGAAATTAATTTTAAAATTGAATTTTAGATCAAATTAATATTTGTAATAGAGAATTCAGTAAAAATTGTCACGGAAAGTTGAGAGATAAAAAAATTGCTCAATAGATATATCCATAAAATTACCCAAAATTAGGGATCGTCCATAAAGTACATGCACTTTTTTTTTACTAACCCCCCCCCCCTCACACACATAATTTCCCATACGCTTTTTTGAGTACTCTCTACCTACCTTAAAGTACCTATGCTTTTCACCTACTAAACCAACATTTTATGATATTTTTTTTAAATTTAGTGTCACCATACTTTTATAATTGACCTACTGTCCACTTATCTCAGAAACGCCATTTGCAGACCTCCTCTTCTTTTCTAAGCATATGTACTTTATGGACGATCCTTCAGAATATTTCGTCCATTTTTTCATGGTCAAACCAATACACTTTTTGTAAATTGTAAGTTAAACTAGGGCAAAAATTCTTTTTTTAATCTTTTCTAATTTTTTTTAGAATAAATAGTGACACATGTGAGTTAAATTCGATTGTAAGCGTCATTCTATTTAAATATACTTAAAATTTATACTAAGTTAGTGAGTTTTAAGCTATTTTTCTTGGTCTAAATTAGTATATATCTTTTAATGTAAATTTTCCAACCAATTCCAAATTAATATTTAGGCCTTTTAGAGTTCATAGAAAAAAAAAATTAATGTTTTATGTCTGTTTAAGGTCCAGCTTTTTGGTTAATCTTTTTAACCAAAAAGGGTTTCAAAAATGGGTTTCAAAAATTTTTTTTTTTTTTTTTTTTTTTTTTTTGGGTTTGAAAAATGGGTTTCAAAAAATGTTTTTGTTTTTGTTATATTATTATAAGCTTTCTTTCTTTCTTTCAAAGGTTCATTGAAGAGTTGATATTAAATTTTCTTATATAATAATTCTCTGTTTGTAGATGAAAGTTAAGGAGAAAAGAAATAAGTTTATGCTTCTTAAAAAAATAAAAATTTTAAAAATAAAGATTTAGATACCAACTTATTGTTTTAACAATTTAATATACAATTCTTGGCAAGGATTGCCAAGGATTGTATATTAAATTGAATGTACCCCAAAACAACCGCAAAAAAAGGAAAAAAAAAGAAGTTCCCTTAACATCAACTATACACAAACAAGTCATGAGATAAAATGCTTTCCACAAATTTTAAACATGGACAATGGTTTCGGAACTGCATCAAATAGCTGGAGACCACTTTTTAAAAAAATTATTGAAATATCAAAATAGTTTTCACCAAACGTTTATCTCAACAGTTTTTTTATATATCAATTTTTTTGTGATATTTTTGTCTGACGATGGTCTGAGCTTATCACCTTGAAAAATTACATAAATAAACTATAAATTAGTTATTTATTGGCTGTGTTTTATATATATACATATATATATATATATATATATATATATATATATATATATATATATATATATATATATTTTTAATGCTAATTCACCTCTCAAGGTGAATTAACATTAAAAACTCTGTAACACAATCGTTGACAAACTAGGCTGCTGCATGGAGAAACAAGTTGAGCACAGTACCACCAGAAACAGCACGGGGGTTGAACTTAGTGGGGGAACTTCTTAGTTATAAAGCAAATGCTCTACCATTAAACCACTACCACATTGTTATTGTACATTAAATTATAATTTAATTAAACTTTGATGAGAAAATACTTTTATATTTCATTTTCTATTTTATATGAACACAAATGCATACAGATACACACAAACAAAAACATTTTAAAATCTTACTGTCATCTTCTGTTGATGCGCAGATTTGAGAACTGAATGGTCCTGTTCCATTTATATTTGAAGCAGCAACTTGGCAACAAAGAACATCATACATTTTTAAACTTGAAACAAGTAGTGTTGTGTTAAAAATTCTTGCATTTATTTTACTTCCATTGCATATTAGAATGTAACTAATCTGATTTATATCAATATTTGCACAACTTAATTTAACCTTATTCCAGGAAATATTTATTGAAGTAGATGATAAACTTTCCAATTGTAGAAGTGTAGGTTCACAACTGGGTACATCAGAGTATGTTTGGATTGTAACACTATTTGATATATTACCACAACCTAATTCATTACAAGGTTGAATCGAAACCTCATATTGTGTATAAGGATGTAAGCCAATCAAATCTAAAACAAAATTAGTGCTTTGGTTGAAGTATTCCACTATTTCTTCCTGTGTACATCGATTCGATATTCCAGAATATTTCTCTAAGGACTGGTTAAAATAAACTGATTTTTGAAGATATTTTTTAGGTGGAGGACCAGGGTTGTAGTTTTGATTTGTAACATTTACATGAAACAACCAATAAGTATTTGTTCCACGAAAAAAGGTTGGAAGAAAACTGCTGGCAGTAAATGAAGCACTGCTTGAACCGGAAACATAAAAACTTGAAATAAATGGTTTCATGCAGAGTGGTTCTATGAATTCATTTTAAAATGTCAGTTAATAAAAAAAAAAAACATTAAATTAAAAACAAGTAATGAGTTAGGAAAGAAAATAAAAGAAACTTTCATGTAACTATACATGTGCATTAAAATTTTTGTATTTATTTTTAATTATACTAAATTTTTTAAGTTCTATTCAATGCAATTCAACTTTAAAGGTTAAAATAGATACCTGAAAGATTACTCTGAAAGCATATGAAATACTTTGGTCCAGCATTAACTGAAAACGCATTCAAACTAGCTATATACAAAAAGCACAAATCAATATTTTTCAAAACAAACTGTGTGTCTGATATATTAATATTTGTGAAACTTGTGTTTTTTAGTGATGAGCTTTTTACTAAACCAAATTGTAGCTGGTAAAATCCTGGTATTTTGTTAACACCCCAAGCATCTGTAGTATTTTCAAGAGAATCCCATTTGAACTGAATCAAAGTTTTGTTGAAAATGGCTGTAAAATTATCAGGAGCGTGGTCTGGTGCTAAAATTACAATAATAATAATTATCAAAAAATGTATGAAAAACATTAAATCTCAATTAAAAGTCACATGATTTTTACCATATTTTATATAATTATTAATCTATAATTATTTTATCTTTTACTTTAACACACCAAAATGTAGAACTTATTAATAAAAAAAGAATTTAGAACTTAAATAAAAATATTTTATATTTGTAATTTAATTTACCGAATGGCATAAAACTTGCAGCAATAAAAATTTGCTTCCCACAACCTGCTGTATTACATGCAGCAACACTTATATTATAAGTGCTTGATAGTTGCAAACCTGTCAAGTAAAACTCAAGTATTGAAGAATTCCATTGTTTAAAACAGTAGTTAGATTCCATTGAATCAATTACATATAATTGTCTTCTGCAAATCTCATAACTTGTTATTATTCCATGACTATTCTGCAGAGAAATTGAGCTCCATTCCAATTTAATTGTTTTATTATTCTTTATGCAGGTAGTAGTGATAAATGTTGGTGCATCAGGAACTAAAAAATAAATATTTCAAACTGAAACTATTATTAGTTTTTGTAAATTTTTTTTAGGGATTTCATTAGGTGTGTAGACATTGAGATTTAGACAATAGTAACTGGTGTATACACTATTATATGTGGTGTTCAAGATATAAAAAAGATTTTAATTTATTAAAAATTTATTGAAAAAAGAGAAGCCATCATTAACCTTACACCTAACTTTTTGAAATTTACAAATTAAAAAATTGTTAAATATTAATAAATTGGGAATTTTCTTTTGTTGAACTAAAATTAAAGAAATCAAATATTTCAAAAAGCATTGTTTTCCCAATGTAAATAACTGCTGAAGAATGTTATCATAAATATACTCTCATATTAAACCATTGGGTTGTCCAGAGATCATTTTGGTTTTTTGTAGCAGATAATTTTAGTAATGTTTTTAACATGTCTGAGTGTTCCAAATATCAAACTTATTTTATAATTTAATAATATAAACTAATATTTACTTTATAGAGAAAATTAAAGTTTTATATTCACATGTTTTATATTTATTTGACATTATTTTCAAAATGAAAGATCAAAATGAAAATTTTTGGCATATTATTTATAAAAAAGTTAGAAAAGCTGCAGAAGCACACCAAAAAATTTGTGCTGTGTATGCATTATTTTGGTGATGCATTTACAGAGCTCACTTGCCAAAACTAGTTTACAAAGTTTTGTTCTGGAAATTTTTCAGCTCAATATGCATCTGATAGTGGTAGACCAACTGATATCAATGTAGGCAAATTTAAAGCTTTGATTTATGCTGAATAATATATAACAGTTTGTGAAACAGCTGAAAAGCTAAACACATCCAAAAAAAAATTGTTGGTAATCATTTGAGAATATGATTGTTTGGATTTGTCTAGATATGTGAAAAAGCTTGATGTTGGAATTCCACATGAACTCAGAGAAATTCAATTAACACAACACATCAACATACTTAATACACTTTTAAAACGGAATCAAAATAATCTATTTTTAACAAAAATGATAACTGGCGATGAAAAATGGATTGTCTACTCTAACATTAACTCATGCAACATAAATACAAGATCCAAACCTGTTGAGCCATCTCAATCAATATCAAAAGCTGATGTTCATAAAAAAAAATGTATGTTGTTGGTATGGCGGAGTTAATCTGCAACAAAATAGTCCAGAATTAGTAAATTGTGTGTGTTGTGTTTCACCATGATAATGCACAAATACATTATCATCTTTTATTTACTATTTTTTTATATATAACATATACTCTATTATTTAGTCAATTATTCAATCGCCGTTCGGTATGGCATTTATTATTCAGAGCTCATTGTTTCATTTATAAGAGTATTTAATAACCTTTTTTCTTCTGACCAAAAACATTTTACTGAAAATATTGATTATGCATTTTTAGACAGAGATTTATGGCCAGTACATATTTAAAATGAATAAATACTAAACTAAAGGAAGTAAAAATAGAAAAAATAAAATAATAAAATTTTAAAAACTATATTCTTACTATCTTCATCAGTAAATGCACAATTTTGAGAGCTGAAAGGTCCTGTTCCATTTATATTTAAAGCAGCAACTTTACAACAAAGCTGCTCATAGCTGTTCAAACCTGATAGCAATATTGTTGTGTTATTCATTTTTTTATTTAACAAATTGTTTCCTTGACTTTGATAACATTTTAAGTTATAACTAATTTGATTTAAATCAACATTAGCACAACTTGAGTTAAGCTTATTCCATGAAATGTTCATTGAAGTAGATGAAAGGCTTTGCATTTGGAGAAGTGTAGGTTCACAACTTGGTACATCAGAGTATGTTTGAATTGTAACACTATTTGATATACTACCACAACCTAATTCATTACAAGGTTGAATTGACACCTCATATTTTGTATTAGGGTGTAAACCTACTAGATCTAAAACAAAATTAGTGCTTTGGTTGAAGTATTCCACCAAATCATCCTGTATGCATTGATTCGATATTCCAGAATATTTCTCTAAGAATTGGTCAAGATAAACTGGTTTCTGAAGATATTTATCAGTTGGAGGACCAGGATATTTATCAGGTGGAGGACCAGGATTATAATATTGATCTACAACATTTACATGAAACAACCAATAAGTATTTGATCCACGAAAATAATTAGGCAAAAACCTTTTCATAAAAAAAGAGGCATTGGTTGAGCTGGAAACATAAACACTTTCTATGAACGGTGTAATGCAAAATGGCACTAAAACACATTTAGTAATACAAAATTAACAATTTAAAAAAAATTACTAGAAAAAGGTTACAACAACTAAAAAAGAAACAATGTTTTGTACACAAAAACATTGAACTTTGAGGATAAAAATACAATAAAAAAATCTTACATTATCATTTTAATAAAACAATAGTCATTTTAATAAAACAATAATATAAAAATATAATAAACAAAACTTAAAGTTTTTTGTTAAAAAACTTTCATTGAAAATTTTTTCATGAAGGTAGTATTAGGATATTTGAATAAGGAAATATGATGAAACATACAAAGGTTATTTTTTGGTTATTTTTTTGTTATTCCCTAAAAATATTTGTATATTAAATACTTTTCTTGAAAAAAAAATGGAAATAATACAATGATTGAAAATTGATTGTCCTAAGTAGAACAAGCTAAACATAAAACTGAAAAGACTGGGATAGTAAAGAAACAAAAACAAATAACTCAGAGAGCAACCAGCTAGGATAAAATGATACCATGATACAAAAGATAAAATGATACAAATAATAAAATGATACAAAAGATAAAATGATACAAACCAGCAGAGATAAAAAACTGATCCAAAACAAAAAAAGTACAGAGTAACTGTCAAAAACGTTTATAAAAACCTAATCAATTATTAAAAGATAGTATAAATGCCAAAGTGCAAGCTAGCATCAGAAAAGTCAACTTGTCTATTAATGGATATTTAGCTCCTCTTCTCATTTGCTCCTACTGTAGCCAATATATATATATATATATATATATATATATATATATATATATATATATATATATATATATATATATATATATATATATATATATATATATATATATATATATATATATATATATATATATGTATATATAAATATATATAAATATATATGTTACATAATATATACATACATATATATGTATATATATATATATATATATATATATATATATATATATATATATATATATATATATATATATATATATATATATATATATATACATATATATGTATGTATATATTATGTAACATATATATTTATATATATTTATATATACATATATATATATAATTTTTTTAAATAAGAGTGCTCAATAATAAACAAATAGGATTTATTTATTTATATTTACACAGAGATGATGGATTAACAGTTTTTAAAAATGTAAGTGGCTACCAAACGGATGCAATAAAAAAACATATTATTCATATTTTTAAGAAATAACAATCTTTTTATCTCATTAGAATACAACATGAAAGTTGTGAACTTTCTTGATGTGACACTGAACCTCAATGATCAATCTTTCAGACCGTTTTGTAAACCAAATATATATATATATATACATATACAAATATATATATACATATATATATATATATATATATATATATATATAAATATATATATATATATATATATATATATATATATATATATATATATATATATATATATATATATATATATATATATATATATATATATATATAGTGTACTCCAAAACTAAAGCAACTTTTAAAAGTCATGTGTAAAACACACCAAAAATATAGAAACAATATAATTTTCATTAAAAATTTTTCCATTATTAATTTTTTAAATAAATAAAAATAGTAAGCAATAAACAGAAAATCAAAAAATATTAAAAAATGTACTTATGTAAAGAAAAATAAAAAACAAAAAAAAAAGTAAAATTGTTTACTTCCAAAACTAAAGCAACTTTAAAAAACTAAATCAAAGTATTGCTAATAGTGCTTGTCAATAAAATTTATTAATTCAAAATTATTTAAAACATCAATAATCAATTGCGTATCCTTTCTTTTTTAAAATTTCTCTGAAATAGCATAACATTGTTACAATCCATTTATAAACTTGTAATTTATTTGTTTCCATGCTTGTTTAAACTCAATGTACAACTGATCAACGTTCCTTTCAGTCAGATGGTGGTCATCTAATTGTTTTCAAAGGTTTTTAATGGAGTTTAATGGTTGTTTCTTCTTACTTAATAAAAATTTATATCTAACTCTTTAATTAAAATCTTGAGCAAAAGATTTGCTTTTTCACAAATCTCACTAACCTACGATCAGTAGCTTTTAATGTTTTGGGGAGACAACCTCCATTGTACTTTGTTTTGAAAATGCCTCTGACTTTGTATCTGTTGATCCATCGGTTGATCATTAATTTTTATACTTGACAGATAGTTCATGTTGTTGAACTCAAATCTTATTTAAGCAAAAATTAGCAATATCGCTTAAATAAGGTCTATATTTATTTCTGACTATTATTATTAATCCCAAAATGCTAAAAATTTATTTTATTTAGAAAGTTTATTCTTAAAGCAAAATGATATTTTAATAATAAAGTTGTAGTTTCAAAAAAATTTCAAAGAAATTTATCTACTTACCATGATTTACAGAAATTAAATATAGTTTTGCGGTTAAATTATTATTATTATTGTTTATTCAAAAAAAAAATTAATTACTAATACAGGTATTTTGAATGCAATTTATAATTCTTTTTTAGTGTTAAAGATAAAAAATATTTTAAGAATTTGTTCTAATTATACTTAATAACAATTTTGGAGTTAAAAGTTTGAAAGAGTATTAAAAAGTATTAAAAAACAAAAACAATTAGTAGCCATCTCAACTATAGTAACACATGATTAAAAATGTTTCTTTTTAATTATGTTTTACAATAAACATACTTGATAAATAGTCTTGAATGCATATATAGTTTTCTGGACCAGCATCAATAGAAAATGCATTTAAACTAGCTATATAAAAATAACAGGAGTTGATATTTTGCAAAACAAACTGATTATCTGTAATATTTATTGTAGTAAAACTAATGTTTTTTAGAGTTGGACTTTTCACAAAGCCATAATGTAGTTGATAAAATCCAGGTATTTTATAATCACCCCAAGCATCTGTAGTATTTTCAAGACTTTTCCATTTAAATTGAATTGAACTTCGGTTAAAAACAGCAGTAAAATTTTCGGGAGATCGCTCTGGTGCTAAAGAGATAAAACATAATTTAAACAATAAAATAACATAATTACACATAACTAATAATAATGACATAATTATATATAACAAAATTATAACAAATGTGAATCTTTAGGGTAAACATTCTACTGAATGGCTGTAGTCACTTTTTTACTTAGGAATGTTTTCATAACATTTTAATACTCAATGAAATGCGTCTAAATTCTAAGTGTAGTATATTATTTTATAGTGATAAATTCAAAAAAATATCTCAGTTTGAAACACAATTTAATTTTTGGCTTTAAAAAATGTTTTTTTTGGTCATGCACAAATCAAATTAATATTTAAAATTACAGTCTTAACATTTAAAATAAAATAATATATTTAGTAAATTATGTCTTCTGAGCACAATTTTTCAAATACACTCTTACACACTGTAAATGAAATTGAATATGCATAGAGAAGACAAAATCTAGTACGGAGGCAAACACAGCATTTAACTTTAGGACTTTCAACAATAACCATTAAAGTTAATTGCTTAAAAACTTCTTTTATAAAATATTTTCATCAATAATAATAGATATGCATTCAATTAAAATGAATGAAAAACCAGTACCAAAATACAGTCTTAAATGATGTCATGAAGATATTTTTTTAACTAGATAAGCTATACTATGTAAAAATTAGCTACATATTTAATTGTTCCAAAGAAATCTGTTTTGTTCTTTTACCAAAGTCTGAAATGTTTCTTCTTTTTGATCTTTAAATATTTATTGGGTAAATTTTTTTTACTCAATTTTTTTTTTTGCAAGAATAATTCTTCTTTTATTTTAAAGCCTCTCCACCTTTTCTTTGGCCTCATTTTCTTTCTGAAATTCTTTAATAATTTACCAACTGGTAAAAACATCATAGCTGCATTATTTGAACCTCTCCTTAGTTTTACCTTCAAATGGTTCTGGTACTTGAAGAATCCTGAATTAATTTGGACACTTTTGCCATATGATTGAATGAAAAAGGAACAAAGAAATTTGTCAAAGAGTAGATAAACAACTTATATTTGAATTTGATTTGACCTGTGAGTATGTTTATCTGCTGTCATATAATTAGCTAATTTAAAGTAGAATCACTCTTTTGTCCCATGATCTCAAAAAATTATTCACACTTTAAATATCAGCTTGAAAACCAGTTTGATAGTTTTGTATCTATTTATTCAGTCATACAATTAAAAAATTCATTCTTGGATCTGCAAAAGAAAATTGAAATTTTTTGAAAGATTTCATGTGGCATTAATAAAGATTAAAAACAAAACTTATTTATTTAATATATAACACAAAAAATTTCAAATTTAAACTTCTCAAATTTATCTATGAAAGAATTCTAACTATGATTTATCTATGAAAGAATTCTAACTCTTTATGCAATAAGAGTTATGTTAATCAGAACACTTAAAAAACTAAAATTTAAAAACGTGTTATCATCAATTGAAGTGTCAGGAATTATGACTTCGTTACTGATGACTACTACATTTAAAATTGTTTTGGCGGTTATGTTTTTTCAAGACACAATCTTAATGTACTTTTTGATAATTGAATTGATAAATGCCCATACCTCGAAAACCATTTGTTATTTATTCTGGCTTTTTTACAAAAAATATCTCAATACTTTCTTTTTTTTTGATTTATATATTTCCATTTACATACTTCTTTTTACAAACTATATTTTATTGTTTCAAAATGAAGCATTGAACAGAAATGTGTTTGAGCCACTTTTGACAAAAAGAAATTTTTGCCAAATTTCTTTTTGTCAAAAAAAATTTGGCATAAATTTTGATACAAAAATAAGCGATATCTTGCATATAATTGAATGAATTTTTAAATATGGTTTGAATTTATTTCATATAATATTCATTAATTCATAGGTAGAAAAACAGTAGGTAATAGTGAATTCTTTTTTTTCCTCTTACAGAATTAACAGAGCAAATATTACAACTGACTTTTTTAGTATTGATTTAAGTTCAAAGATTCATCAAGATTCAAAAAAGCACTTGGCCTGTTGAGATGGTCTAAGTATTTGCTTTTCATAAAAAAATCATAGATTTTCTTAAAAAATCTTCACTTTGACCTGTTGAAACATTGGCTGCTGCTCTACTCAATGATTCTTTCTTAATGCTACGTTGTTGTTTTGGCCTAAAATTGAACCCAGAATTTACTAGGATAGCTATTTATGAACTTAGGTGACAAATTCAACTCCAACTAAATATTCCCTTGCCTTGGGGCTTTTGGTTGAGTAAAGGCTAGAGATGGTGTCTCGATAAAAACACTCATCTTGGGCAGATGTTAACTGCATCCAGCTAAACATCCCCTGCCTTGGGGCTCTTGGTTGAGTAAAGGCTAGAGATGGTGTCTCGATAAAAACACTCATCTTGGGCAGATGTTAACTGCATCCAGCTACTGTCTTGTAAAAGGCCTCCTAGGCAAAGACTTTAGGGGTAAGCAGAAAAATTCTGCTAACCAGCCTCGAACCTCTTTTCATCTATTAGGCTGGCGTAGATGTAACCTGTGTTACATTGTTTCCTGCCTAGGATGATGAATGCTGGTTCTCCTTGACTCTACTCATAGAATTTTGCTTATGCCTCCTTGTTAATGGCTATGCAACTCTTCCTGTTATCTCCATATGAGAGTACAGCTCTAAAACTCAGTTAAATGGTTCTGAGGTCGGCTGGTAGTAAGGTTTCCCGAATTCTGTGGTAGCTCTCAGAGAGGCTGATTCCATCAACAGTTGCAAAATATCAGAGTATTAACAGTGCCATGTTGCGCATGGATGGTATCCCTGTTAATGCTTTTGGTGTGCATTGTCAAGGCCACATAAGGAGCCCTATGTCACGGCTTAGGGTTAATTAACAGGACTGAGACAACTGCATAGCTCATTGATTAGGAGGCTGTACTCTATCTATGAATGAGTCAAGTTCTCATTAGATCCAAATCATGACCAAAGTAACCAAAAATTTAAAACCTAAAAAACCATCCTCACCACCTAAATATTTTAATATATCTTTTACAAATATTCGCGGTCTACAAAGCAACTTTCCATCAGTTGAGTCTTACCTCCTGCAAAATTCACCAGACTTGCTTGCACTCAGTGAAACAAATTTAAATTCTGCAATTCCTTCTTCAGATGTCAGTGTTGATGGGTACTATCCTTTGATTTGTAAAGACTCCAATAGTCACATGCTAGGTTTAGAGGTATACGTACGCATTAATTCCCTTATTTGTTGTGAAATCAGTTTCGAATCCCTTCGCCTAGCATCTCTTCACTCTATTACCTTTCTCTTTGTTCTTTATCGTTCTCCTTCTTCCCATGATTGCACTCTTTTAGATGTTATCTCTGATCAAATTGACCATGCCCTCTCTCTTTACCCCTGTGCCAATATTGTTGTTGTTGGTGATTTTAATGCCCACCACACTGAATGGCTTGGCTCTAACACCACTGATCCTGCTGGCACTAAAGCCTTTAACTTCTGCGTTTCTCAATCTCTTACTCAGAAAGTTAACTTTGTGACTCGTTTTCCTGACAACCCTAATCATTTACCTTCACTCCTTGACTTATGTCTTGTCTCTGACCCTAGCTTATGTTCAGTTTCTCCCTTTTCTTCCTTAAGTGGTTCTGACCATGCAATGATCTCTATAAATCTTTCTTCTCGTACTTCTTTTTTGGGCTCACCTTATCATCGCACCACCTACTACTACCCTAAAGCTGACTGGGATTCCTTTCATGATTTTCTTCGTGATGGTCCTTGGGCTGATGTTTTTTCTCTCTCAGCTGACAAATGCGCCTCCTACGTAACCTACTGGATTCAGGCTGGAATGGAAGCTTTTATTCCTTCGCGTCGGTTTCAAGTCAAGCCTCATTCTACTCCATGGTTTTCTCCTTCTTGTGCGGCTGCTATATTTAATCGTAATCATTTTTTTCATTATTTTCAAAAGAACAACTCTCTTGAGAACAAACGGCTATTTATTATTGCAAGAAATTGATGTAAAAAGGTGCTTTCTGATGCTAAACTCCATTATTCTCAGTTCACTAAATTTTGCATCTTATCTAGAGACTTAATATTCACTTCTTTGAATGATCATTTCTCATACTCTTTTAGAATAATCATTAACGATTGCATCACAAGCAATATCCTTTGGAGAATTATATGAAAAACTCTCTTTAAAGATAGTTACAAAACTAATTACCTTTGAACAATTATTTCTAATACTTGTTTAGAATAATCGTTTAAGGTTGCATTACAAACAATTCCCTTTGGAGAATTATATGAAAAACTCTCTTTAATGATTGCAAAACTATTCTAGAACTGTTGTCATATTTGGGCTGGTTCTTCTAACGATTCACTTTCTCTTCTTGACAAGGTCCAATATCGCATTGTAAATGTTGTTGGACCTGGACTATCTGCTAAGCTTGAACCTCTTTCCCATTGTCGTAAAGTTACATCTCTTTCTCTTTTCTACAAATACTATCATGGTCACTGCTCAAAGGAGTTATCATCTCTAGTTCCATCAACTAAAATTCATTCTCGTTTTACTCGTCATTCAGCTAAGTCTAATTCGTTTACTGTATCTGTCCCTGCATGCTCTAAAAACTTTTATTCATCTAGTTTTTTTTCCCGCACTTCAATCCTTTGGAACTCTCTCTGATCTTCATGTTTTCCTGACTCATACAACCTTCAACTTTTCAAGTCTTCTGTCAACCGTTTCCTTGCTCTATAACTTCCTTGTTTCTTTTTTTCCTAGTAACTCCCAACTTAATAGTGGTTGCTTGCAGCCTTGTTGGGAGTGAATGCAAATAAAATAAAATAAAATTGTTGATTCTTAGCATCTGTATTACAGCCACTATTTTCATCAACTCCTCATGTCTTATTAGATGATCAAGTTTTATGCAACTTATAAGCTAATTGACTAAATGATTTCTCCCTGTAATCAGCATGCTTTCAACTCCTTTTTTTTTCACTTGTTATTTTTATTACTATTTTAAAAAAACAATTTTGGTATTTAGCATTTTTTTGATGCACAATAAAATGAAAACTATTTTTTCTAAAATCAATTAGAGCTACTTTTACGGTCTTAATAGAATACTTCATATAACTTTTTAAAACTGTTTTAGTTTTAGTGTTTTACATTTTTGCATTGCAAGTATAAACTTCAATAATATAGAGATATTTAATTAATTTTTTGGGTAAACAAAAAAACCATAAAGATCTTTAAACAAGTTACTTTAGACATCTTGTAAGACATTTTGTAACTGTTCATATTATAACATATGTAAAAGATCATTTTTTCTCACAAACCTTTTTCAGTATAAAAATCTATATAACAATTGTAGTTGACATGCAATTGGTTTAAAAAATTTAGTTTTTTACAATTTAAACTATTTACAAAAATACACACAAAACAAACTGACTCATTTTACAGATTTTCCCTGAATTTTTTAATTAACTTAATGATTCAGGGTCTAAACATTGTAATTTTTATGATAAAAATTACAATGTATATAAAATTTTTTTAAATGTATAAAATGTATAAATGTATAAAAAATGTATAAAAATGTATAAAATGTATAAAAAAATTTTTATAAAAATTTTTTATCTAGAGTGAGTTTTTTTTGTTGGAGCAAAAGAAGATGAAAATATAAGAAATATAAGATAAGAAATAAAGATAATTTATATCTTTAATGTCTCATAAAGATCACAAAATTTCAATGTATTTTACTCTAACAATGTATTCTAAAATATACATCTTAACATTCCTACCAGAATTGTGAGAATGTTAGGGTGGTTGTTTTAGGAAAATAGAATTGTGTGGTGCCATTTTATGTGGCACTACATAAATCTATTTTTAAATACATAAAAAACTGATCTTTTTGATAAATCCTAACAAAAATTCTTATATTGAAAGTTAAAGCAAAGAAACTTAGAGAAAAAAATGTATGCAAAGAAACATTGTTAGAAAAAAATAATATCTATATGGTGTAAATCTATAATTATGTAAATATAACTAAAAAATTTTTTTTTTATTACTTAAGAAATTTTTTAAGAGACTACTATAAACATTAAAAACATAAGTTAAAATATGACATTGTTATAAAAACAATACATGCCAGAAATAATCTAAAAACTTACCAAATGATAACAACCTTGCTATAATATATGCTGGTTTGCCACAACCTGCTGAATTACAGGCTGATACACTAATATTATGAGTGCTTGCTGCATCAAGATTTGTCAAATTAAACACAAGCAAATTTGATTGTTTGAAACAATAGTATAGTCCATTTGTACCATTTAAATACAATTGTCTTCTACAAATCTCATAACTCATTATTCCATAACTATTCTCAGGAGGAATCCATTCCACTCTTAATGTTTTTCTATCTTCTGTGTAATTAAAAATGCTCAATGGAGCATCTGGTACTAAAAAATAATTATTAACATGCAATATAAAAGTAATTTTTTCATCATTTCTTCTATGAAATCAAGTGACAAAATACTGAACAAATATTAAAAAAAAACTTTAAAAAATGTCTTGCAATTTTTATTAAACATAAAAATAATTTCAAAACCTTGAAAACATTCATCCATTTTTTTTTCAATAATGTAGTTCGATGGTAAAAACTCCCATGTCCCATAAAAAGCATTGCACCATTCACATGTATGATTTCCAGGTATGCATGCAAGATCCCCTAAAATTTTATAAATAGGGAAATAATAAAAAAAAAATGATATTATTTAAAAAAGAAATTGATGATTAAATGAATTTAGGGTTGTTACACTAAATCCTAGAAAATGTGAAAACTTGTCAAAAAATGTCATTTTTTTATTTTTTTTTATTTTGTTTTTTTCTTTGGTTAACTTGTCAAAAAATATTTTAGAAAAATTATGCATGAATGTATGTTTGTATATATGTATGTATGTATGTATGTATGTATGTATGTATGTATGTATGTATGTATGTATGTATGTATGTATGTATGTATGTATGTATGTATGTATGTATGTATGTATGTATGTATGTATGTATGTATGTATGTATGTATGTATGGATGCATGTATGTATGTATGTATGTATGTAAGTATGTATGTATGTATGTATGTATGTATGTATGTATGTATGTATGTATGTATGTATGTATGTATGTATGTATGTATGTATGTATGTATGTGTATGTGTGTGTGTGTATGTATGTATGTATGTATGTTCGTATGTATGTATGTATGTGTGTATGTATATACATAAATACACACATACATACATAAATCAAAATATTGCATGACCTGTTTCAAAGTATTGTGTGGGACAAAAATTCAACAAAAAGAAGAAACTGGATTATTTCACCACTGCAAACAATCTGGAAGACCTCATTTCACCGCAAGAAAATAAGATCAGTACATAGTTATTAGTACATAGTCAGATATGATTAAATTGAGCCAAAGAAAAAAAAAATTGGATACCAGATGACTAGAATAATGTTCTTTGGTCGGATGAATCAATGTTTGTAATTTTCAGCAATAAATGTCGATCTTTTGTTTGTCATCAATCTGAAGAAAGGATGTTGGATGATAGCATACTGTAAATGGTTAAATACGGAACATTATGGTTTGGGGTTGTTTGGGAGGTGGCCAAGTCAAAAAACTTGACAAAAAAATGACAAAAGAGGTCTACAAAAATATTTTGGAAAAACATGTTTTGGATTATGGAAAAGAACTTATTGAATGATTTACAATAAAACAACTATACAAAACATACAGCTAAACTTGTGAAGGAATATTTATTGAAAATATCTAAGAACAAAGTACTACAGTTGATGACTCAGCCACCTTAAAATTCTAAATGTGATCCTATCAAACTAATTTGGTTAATTTATCAACTAAATTAACCAAATTAGTTCGATAGGATCACATTTAGGATTTCAACTACTATCTCTTGTTTAATTTATTAATTATGTTTGAATGATGATGATGAAGGATATGATGCACCATTGTCACAGGAAAACCTGATTCAATTTCAAAATTGTAATAAAAAGGTTTCTTGTCCGGGTAAACTAATTTTTTTTTTCCCGCTTAGGTAAAATGTTTAATTTTAATAAAGTTTTAGAACACATGTTATTGATTTTATTATTTTTCACCTTAAAAAAATGACTTAATTAACTAATAATAATAAGTTTTAATTAATTAATAAAGCAAGAGAGGTGCAAAAATACCATCCAAGAGGGAAAACATTACCTCAAAATTTTTGGAATGCTGTTAAGAAGCAATATTTACAACTACTATGTAACAATTTGCCTCATATTTGCCAGGCTATCATTTAATCTAAGCACAGTCAGATAAAATACAATTTAATATAAAAAAAGTAATTTAAAGTAGTCTAATTTAATAGTATTTAATAATGTTATCTTCTGTCGTTTTCAAAGTTGTTTCTAGGCTTTTCTAAACACATTTCTTTATTTCACACGATCTTTTATGCAAAGTCTGCAAGTAAATTAGAGTTGATAAATTTTTAGTATTCAAGAGGAATTGATGTTGATTATTAGGTGTCATTTGTTTAATTAGTAATTTTAATAAATAAATATTTGTTGTTTTCTTGGTAGTTTACTTAACAAAACAAAGTAAGTTTTTATTATTTGGAGCAATTGAAAAAAGATGAAGTTGCTTTTTAGTTACTTAAATTCACTTTATTGTTATTTGTTATTATTTGAAGGGGTATAATAAGGATAAAGTTCTTTAGACAGTCAAACTGGTATTGATATGAGTAAGTTTACTATTTAGTTTTAAGTTAAAATTTTATATATATATATATATATATACATATATATATATATATATATATATATATATATATATATATATATATATATATATATATATATATATATATATATATATATATATATATATATATATATATATATATATATATATATATATATTATACAGATCTGGCTTACCATATTAAAAAATATGGTAAGCCAGATCTATTTTTTACTTTTGCATGCAACTCAATATAGTAGTGTGAGATATGATATATTGGTGTGAGAACTGAAGAAGTACAAAAACTTATTTTCAAATGTTGTTAATTTATAATTTATGATAAGTATGTTTACATGTGTAATTAAATAAATGTTTATATTTTATAAAATGTGCTCATAAAATACAATATGTTCAAAATTTTCTATGTTTTTATTCTGTTTTTCTGTTTTAAAAGCATTGTTACTTAGCAGTGCATAGAGCAAGATTGTCATCCTTGCCAGACAAGACTAGGTTGTGGTACTTGACACCATTTAGTCCCAGGTGATCTTAATTTCTGTTAATTATTTTTTACCTAAGACACTTTAGAACTATGACTAAGTATGAATCTTGCTTTAATTTAAATTAGTTTTAATTTAATTAAAGTATAAATACTAAAAGCTACAAGCTTTTAGTAATTTTTAAATTGGAAATTATTTACATGCATACAAGTGCGTCAAAGTTGTAAATGTGAGTAGAGTCTAAAATTAAGAAATTTATTGGATAATTACTGCGGCAGGGATTTTTTGTGAAAAAGATCTAACATTAAATCTGGATTTAAACCATTTATAGATTTAAAAACTTTAGTTAACAAAAACATATTTTTTTAATTTTTATTTTTATTTTTTTTAATTCATCAGATAAGAGCAATTTATATTTCAATTAAAATTCAACTTTGCATATATTTACTTTTATTATACAACTTTAAGTTAATTATAATCATATATATATATATATATATAGGTTGTTACATTAGCCAACTATTTTCATTTTTTTAATTGCTTATTTATAAGTCAATTAAAAATGTGTAAAATAATGATTTTGCAATTTAAGATGATAATAAGACTATCTGTACTTAAAACAAGTGTTTTTGTATCAAGTACAGACAGGCTGTACTTGGTTTTCCTTCTCTGGAGTCTGTTGTTTTGATTGATTTTAAAAAGAACCACTAATGATTAAGTTATGTGGGTTTTTTTATATTGGTATTTTATATTCCGCAACAAGAATTGCTGAAGGCATGGTCAACCATAAACAAGAAAATGACAATAACAGTTTTTCAAAAATTAATGGGCACCATCACCAGTAATATAGGATTATTTTTTAGTAATGAAAAAAAAATTTGAAACTAAATTTTTTTAACTAGTTTTTATACTCTTTAATTTCTTAACTTTTAATAAAAATTAAATAAGTTTGTAAAAAATTGTTGTTTTAAATACTTTTCAAAAAAAAAAATTTTCTCATTTTTTTTTGATCTCATGCTTTACTATCAGGCACTAATTAGGTGCCACAAGACGTACACAAAAGTGCCACATCCATTGCTTAAGATATTTATTTAGATATTGTCTAATTCTTTGTCAATCAAATTTCAAAAGCTATATATGCAGAGTGATTATCTTTATGAAAATGACACTATTTATTTCTGCCATTTAGAATGTTACTGTTAGAAATTTCAGCACGTTGATTTGGCCTGTTCAAATTAAATTTTATTTTATTTTTGGAAAGGTTTTATTTGTCTTATTTTAAAGTAGTTTAGTTAGCATTTTTGTTGATAAATTAAAATTGATATAATTTTTTAATTTCTAATTTAAAAATATACATTTTGTTTATTTTTAGATATCAAAAAGTAAGAAAATATTATAAAATGTCAAAGAAATCTAATTTATCACTAGAAACACGTTCTGTAATTTATCACTAAAAATATGTTCTGAAATTGTCAAATAATGGTCATTTTACCAGATATATTCAAAAACTGTTAAAAATCTGCAATCAAAAGTGAGTGGCACTATTTGTCAGTTTATATGTACTGGTATAAATAAAAGATCAAGGCTGAAGAAAAGTCAATTATACTCTTATGTAAACAAAATAGATAATTTACAGCCCAAGAAATAACATCTAACTTCAATGCTACTCATAATTTTATTATTTCTTTGACATTTTATAATATTTTCTAACTTATTAATAGCTAGTCGTACAATCCTTTCTAAAAAAAAACGCTGTACAGTCCATTCTGAAAATATTTTTAGAAAAGACTGTAAAAAATTCCATTAACAATGTATACAGCCTACTGTCAAACATGGCAGAAGTTCAGTAATGGTGTAGGGCTGTTTTGCTTCTAATAAGGTTGGTAATCTTGTAAAAGTAAATTAAATTCTAGATAAGAAAGCATATGATAAGACATTATGTAGTAATGCCATACCATGTGGAAAACATCTTATATGGAACAACTGCATACAGGTTCAATATGCTACAGGATAATGACACAAAACACACACCCAAAGGTCAATTAGTTTGTAATGAAATTAGGCTAAATTTAATTAGTTTATTTGTTTTTTTAATGTATATTTTCATTTTTGCAAAGTTTATTTATACTAGTTTATTTATTCTTTATATATTTTTTCATTTTATCAGTCAGGTCAGGTTTTCCTGCTACTGGTAACATGTAACCCAGTACAACCTGCTCCATGTCCTGCTGCCTTGTAGGATACGCTTTTTTAGGCAAAGGCTAGGAGAAGTTAACTCCGATTTAAAACACCCCCTGCCTTGGGGCTCTTGGTTGAGTAAAGGCTAGAGATGGTGTCTCGATAAAAATACTCATCTTGGGCAGATGTTACATGCATCCAGCTGCTGTCTTGTAGAAGGCCTCCTAGGCAAAGACTTAAGGGGTAAACAGATTCTATCTGTTGACCAGCCTCGCACCCCTTCCTCATCCATTAGGCTGGCGCAGATGTATTTTTAATACATTGTTTCCAGTTTAGGATGTTGAACGCTGGATCTTCTTGACTCAATGCGTGGGTATTGCTTGTGTCTCTATTTTTATGACTGGGCAACTCATTCTATTATCTCCTAATGAGGGTACAGCTCTAAAACTCAGTTTTATGGTTCTGAGGCCGGCTGGTAGTCAGGTTTCCCGAACTCTGTGGTAGCTCTCAGAGAGGCCGATTCCATCAACAGCCGAAAAATATCAGAGTACTAACAGTGCCATGTTGCGCATGGATGGTGTCCCTGTTTGTACTTTTGGTGTGCATTGCAGAGGCCACATTTGGAGCCCTTTGTTACGGCTTAGGGTTTATTAATAGTAATGAGGCTATTGCTTAGTTGTTAAATAGTGTACTGAGTACTATCTATACTTGAGTCAAGTTCTTTATAAATTTAAAATGACTAAAGTACCTAAAACTAAAAAACACAAAAAACCATTGTCATCACCAAGTTCTCTAAACCTATCATTTACTAATATTCGTGGTCTTCGAAGTAACTTTTCTTCTGTTGAGTCTTATCTCTTGCAAAGTTCACCAGACCTACTTGCTCTTTGTGAGACTAATTTGAGTTCAGCTGTCCCATCTTGTGATCTTAGTGTTGATGGTTATCTTCCTTTAATTCGTAAAGACTCCAATAATCACATGCTTGGCCTGGGCATCTACATTCGTAAGAACTCACCCATTTGTCGTGAAACTAGGTTTGAATCTACAGACTATTCATTTATGTGCTTTCGTTTAGCACAACTTCACTCTATCGCCTTTCTCTTTGTTCTATATCGCTCTCCTTCATCCCAAGATTGCACTATTCTTGATGTTATTTCTGATCAAATTGACCAAGCCCTCTCTCTTTATCCATCGGCCAATATTGTCGTTGTTGGTGACTTTAATGCCCATCACACCGATTGGCTTGGCTCTAGTGTCAGTGACTCTGCTGGCGTTAAGGCTCTCAACTTTTGCCTTTCTCAATCTCTAACTCAAATAGTCAACTTTCCAACTCGTTTTCCAGACAACCCTAATCATTTACCTTCTCTACTCGACTTATGTCTTGTTTTGGATCCTAGTCAGTGCTCAATTTCTCCACATTCACCCTTAGGTACTTCTGATCACGGTTTGATCTCTCTAAAACTATTATCAAATTCTTCTACTTCATCAGAATCCCCCTATCATCGTACCACATACAACTACCTTAAAGCTGACTGGGACTCTTTCCGTGATTTTCTTCATGATGGCCCTTGGGTAGAAATCTTTCGTCTTCCTGCTGATAAATGTGCTTCTTACATAACTTCGTGGATTCAGGCTGGCATGGAATCTTTTATTCCCTCTCGACGATTCCAGGTCAAGCCTCACTCTTCTCCTTGGTTTTCCTCACATTGCGCAGTAGCAATTTCTAATCGAAACCGTTACTTCCATATCTATCAGCAAAACAATTCTCCAGAAAACAGACATCTGTTCACTATCGCCAGAAACCATTGTAAAAAGGTTTTGTCTGACGCTAAAGCTCGCTATTCCCAGGTCATTAAATCTCGTATCTCATCACAAAAATTAGGCTCTCGAGACTTCTGGAGAATCTTTAACAGTATCAATAATAAGGGCAAATCTGTTATTCCTTCTCTCTTGTATGGTTCAGTCTTTGTCACCTCACCTAAAGACAAAGCTGAATTGTTTGCTAAGAACTTTTCATCAATATCATCTCTTGATTCCACTAGTTGCGTTTTACCTGACATAGCCGTCAAACAGGTTGATCCCTTGCTTGACATTCGCATCACTTCAGCTTCTGTATCTAAAGTAATTTCCTGCTTAGACTCTTCAACAGCTTGTGGTCCTGACAACATTCCTGTTGTAGTCTTGCAGAGGTGTTCTCCGGAGCTTTCATCCATACTTTCTAAACTATTTAACAAGTGCTTATCAGAGTCTTGTTTTCCATCATGCTGGAAAGCAGCATCTGTTATCCCTATTTTCAAAAATTCCGGAGAGCGATCTGATTCATCTAACTACCGTCCCATTAGTCTTCTTCCTGTCATAAGCAAGGTTTTTGAATCTTTAATCAACAAACACTTAATCTCTCATCTTGAATCAAATAACTTACTTTCTGATCATCAATATGGATTTCGGTCTTCTCGTTCTACAGCTGATGTGCTAACAGTAATAACCGATAGGTTTTACCGTGCATTAGATAGAGGTGGAGAGGTTAAGGCTATCGCACTTGACATTTCTAAAGCTTTTGATAAAGTTTGGCATGCTGGTCTTCTCCATAAGCTTTCTTCTTATGGTGTAGCTGGTAACGTCTTTAAGATTATTGAGTCCTTTCTTTCCAATCGTAGTATAAAAGTTGTCCTCGATGGACAACACTCTT